AAAAAGTCAGTGGGCCGATTTATGTTCTTATTGGCCTCCGTCCTTTCTAAATTAAGCAATTGTCTAGATTCCGATAAAAAATTGTAATGCACAAACACTTAGTTATATGTATATGTGACATTTTCTAATCAATGGTTGAATAATATTACATAAGATTAGGTTGTTAATTGTATAGGTTGTCTCTGGGATGTAGATTTTTTTCTGTTTATAAGAACAACGGTCAATATAGTAGTAGTTTAAGTAAAATTAAATGCTAAATAATAAGAGAAAAAAATATTTGTTCTCTTGCAATAAATAATTTCCCATTTGCTTGAAAAAATGTGCTAGGTATTGTGTAATTTTTAAGATATTTATCATATTAATCTGCTTTTAGATAAAATATTATTAACGTTAAGCTTATCTTTTAAACTTCCTTCGATATCCGAAAAAAACTATTTTGAATATGGGCCCTAGATGCACAACACTTCAACTAGGTGGTGATGTTAGTATACCGGGCAATGGGAACTCAGCAATAATATTTAATGGTATTCCATATAACATATCGAATATATTTAACAATGCATTAAATATTACAATGGAAAAATACAGATCTGAATTAATTATAATTCAATTTTCTTCAGTCTTTCTCATGACAATATTATGGTGTGCAATTGTTATATATATTTCAATCAAAAAGACAGTAAATAAAGGTGAGTCATTATATATGACATTTGCAGTATAGTATTGAACTTATTTTTGTTCTTGTTTAGACATTGAATCTGTTCTGAATAAGGTTAGTACATCATATGAAAACTATTTTCCGCCAAGAATGAAACTTTGTTCGTATTTTTCGTTTAGTGTGATGTTCAACTTGAAACGAACAATACAAGATATCGTCGATATTTAATTGAAGTTTTTTTGATTAATACTTTTAACAAAAATTTTCATGATAATAAATTTTTATATAGCTTGATGAAGCTTTGCAAGAAGTTGAGAACTTATTGAAAAATGATTATTATTCTTTACAGTATTTTGCACAACCATTAGAATATATTGAAAATTTATATCATTTGGTACGATCATCACCAGATCTATTGTACATCGTGATATCAAAATTGATTGATAAAAACTACGCTGGTCCGTATTAAAAGTTTTCATTAAATTTCTATATAAATCTCATAATAGGACTTTGTCTGGCTGTTCTTACATTGAAAAATAGAAGTCCTTGTGAAAATTCTGAAGCATGGCAATCGATCACTTCTGCGTTAACCGGTCTGTGTTCCTATATGAGAGCATCGTCCAAGTTGTGCTTTGTGAGTTTAGAATGAAATTAACGTATTTTTTTTTTACTATCATTCAATATTATGCATTTTTATAATTATTTTTATTATAAAGGCTGCTGTTGATGCTAAAATGATATCAATACTTGCTTCAATATTATCTCAAAGATCTTACTTAGATGATTTAGACACAAATACGGTAGTTTAACATAATAATTAGCTAAAAAAATATTTTTTCGACTTTTTCCGTATAGCCGGTTACGTTTTTGTTTTTGATGACTTCTCGTATGTTTCACTATCTAGCTGAAATCGAACTATTAAAATATAAACTGGAACAACATAACTGTTCTGAGGTATATTAATGTTCTGAATATTTGCTTTGATTTTGAACACCATCGACATTTTAGATACTGCTTAATGTGATAGCTCATACAAATAACAAATTATTGCGAGCTATTAATATATTAACTGTTGCTCGAATGTCGAAAAACTCGATATATAAGATTTCATTTACATTTGAGGATAGTAAGAAATTAATAAAACTTCGCTTAGTAAGTAAATAACTTTCTCGTTATTGTTTTAGGTTTAATTTTATTTCGTTTGTACTACGAATCAGTCAAGTCCGATTCTCAAGAAGTGTATGGACTTAAACAGCAGCATATTATGAATGGATTTTATGCTATTGGTCAATTAGATTATCGTGCATTTGCTTTAAAAAAAACACTGACTAATCTCATTTAGATACTTATGTTGTGCTACATAGAAACAAAAACTTTTCTTATGAATTAATATTTGATTTGATTTAAACTAAATTTTTTGTATTAAATTACATTTATTAAAAAAAATAATTTCAAGCAAATATATAAACCGAAACGTTCTTATTGAAATGAAATTCAGAGTACAGTACCTTTAATTGTACAAATTCATTCGCACATTTTGTTTTATAAATAAAACTTCACAAAAAAAAATTGATTCTTTTTGTTTACTTCTATATCAACATCAGCTTTAATTTAGATAAAATTTCCTATTTTCCGATTCAAATAGAAGGATGTCTGATCGTCCACAAACAATGTTGATGAAACTTGTTTTCAAAAGGGCACCAGTAATGCGTGAGCCTTATCGAGGTTCACATTGGACAATAATTGAAACAAGTAAAATAAACAAAAAAGAATCAAGTGTACATAAACGAAAAGAAAAAGCTGAATCATTAAATAAAACGAACAAAATTGTTCAAAAAACATCACCATCATCATCATCCTTAATTGAAAAGGTAGCCATATCATTGAAAAATATACGTCGCTAGATTTAAAATATCTTCTAACTAACTGTTATTATTTAATATCTTTTTAGCAGAGTGAATTATCGTCAAAAAAAATTAATCAGTCGAATAACACCAATGGTACTAGTACAAATGGACATACTTAAATTCTATTTAAATGACAAATTTTTTGTTTTCTTTGAATGCTTGCGGTGCTTATCTGTATAATTGTAGAAATTTGTTATTAATTTATTTCATTGAACATTTTCTTCTGATATCTGATAGATTGTAAATA